GGGGGGGGGGGGGGGGGGGGCTCCCCGGTCCCAAGTGGAGGCGTTGTCTTTTTTTGTCGTTTGTTTTTTTCTTATAAAAATAAAGAATTGAATAAAAACAATTATGAATATGTCGATTAGTAGCCGCTTTAATCATATTTTGCTTTTGAATGTATGATTCCATAGGCCTACTCGATAATAATAAAATTAATAGATACACTTCCAGTGATTTAATTTATCTATCATTTTATTTCCAGGGGTGAAATTAGAGGTAAATATTTGTAAATACATTGATTTCTATAAAATTTATAATTTTTTACATCAGTTCTCAAAACGAGCAAATTATTTTAAAAATTGATTTATATATTTCCCCCATTTCCAAGACTATATTCAAAATTAAAGACATTGTTCTTCCATAAGATAATTGATAATGGGATGAAAAATAAACTTATGATATGTTGTGTAGACGAAGTTGACTTGCTTACATGACGTTACGCCAGCCTACCTTGTACACCGTAGGACTGCGCTGAGTAGATTGATAGAACAAATCGTGCCTCCTTTAAGTAATTGTTCTGTTAACCAATAGAATCTGTAGTATAATTTAATTATCAAATGGAAATAATTAATTATTTGTCTTATTGTTGATTACTATTTATTATCTATTGGTTGAATAAATGTTTTAAGTCTGACTCTAATTTTTGGTGCGGAAATACTGTTATAATTTTGTTGATTCCAGTGAAGTCAACAGAAGATAATATGTAGGTCCAGTTTGTGCTGTAGCTTGATTAAAGTCATGCTCCGGAGGAAAACAAATTTGATATGTTTATACAACTGATTTTCCTAAGACACAAAAAGCATATTTGACGAAAAATTTGGGAACGGTTAATGAGATTCAGATTTTTGAATATTTAAAAACGGAGGGGGTGGGGAGGTGGAATAAGGGGTTACTACGCCCCTTTTTACTCAGTTTTTAAAATTCAAAAATTCTGTATCTCATTAACCGTTCCTCATGAACTTTTCATCAAATAACAAGTGTTATGTCTTAGAAAAATCAGTTGTAGGCCTACAGTATATACAACATAAATAAATTTCATCGGAGCCTGGCTTTAAGATGCTTGCCTTCGAAAAACCAGGATTCTAGGTTCAAATTCTACTTATGTAGGATATTTTCTCCTAGCTAAAAAACAGTTTTTGCTAGGCTTTCTAATGAGAATGACTTTTTGGTGATACAAAAATGCACATGTGGTTGCCATTATGTTTTTCCTTTATGGTATTGTTCTAAAATGTTATTTGCATTTTTTCAATACTCCTACTACTATTTCCTATTAATAAATAGTAACTCCATGATCTTGGTAAAATACTGTACTATCCTTTTGTCAGTGGAGAATCCAGAAATTCGAAATTGATGAGGCCCAGGGAAAAACTTTACAAGAGTCCACGCACCATGATCCAACCACCGTGGTTGGGGCCGGGGTGAGCAACCTCCATGGCTGAAGTACATTTGTATGATGATGGAACCTAGATGGCCGGAAATGGCACTCTCAGACTTAAATTTGAATATTCTTTTCTTCTCCATTTTTTTTTTATTGATTGGCGCCACCAATCCGCCCCTTCCTTTCTTGAATCCGCCACTTTTTTACATAACTTGTCTGATTATTTCTTTTTTACGCCTAGTAAATTATGTCTCTAAAAAAAAACAGGATTGAATAGGGAAATGTGATGCTTGTGATTATATTACAGTATAACATTTATTATTTGCATTCATTTTTTTAAATAATTGATTATTGAATTCTTAGGTCAGTTTCGGTTAGTGTCCCAACATATGGGCGCAGATCATTGGGGGTGGGGGGCAGGGAGGACACGTCTTGATTAAAATATTCCAAAAGGTCCCCTTTTTTAAACCTACATTATTTCATTAAAATACACCCAAATGAATGAAAATGTAAATAGAATATTCACGAATTGCGGGTTTCAGAAATCCATTATATAAAGGCTTTGACAATGCTACTTCGCAACCATAACTACCACAAATTTCCTAAAGTCCACTTTTTAAAAACATTGCATTTCATTTGCCTGTCGTTGATTTTAATAACTGTGGCACGAAATTTGTAGATTGTTGATTCATTATGGACGGTATAATACCTCCATAGGACAATGTTATTGTATACGCAAAAGGACATGAAACGTTAATTCTTAGTTGCTGTAGTCCCTAACAACACCCAAATAAATGAAAATTTAAATAGAATATTACCAAATAATGTGTTTCAGAAATCTTTATATAAGGCTCTCTTAATGCAACTTTGTCGTGGCTTCCAGGAGCTTCGCCCACAAATACCCAACGCACGGCGCTCTGCTCGTGGACCCCACATTTCAAAAGGTCCACTTTTAAAACTTATTATTTCAGTAAAATCGTTCCTAATATCATGCTATAGTATGAATAGCATTTTATTCACCAACTCTTAACCGTTGATTTTTAATATGGTATGAAGTTTGTTGGAAATTGATTAGCTGCAGTGAATGCAGGTTGATCAATTGTGAACAATGTTACCTGTAGGCCTACAGATGCAAAGGACATAAAACGTTACTACTTCAGGTCCCAAATTAATGAAAATTTAAATAACATATTTACAAATTATGGGGTTTAGAAATGCATTAGGCCTATATAAGGTCCTCAAAATTCTAATTTGTCAGAGCTTCGGGGGCTTCACCTTGAACCCCCACTAGGGCTCTGCAGAAGCACCCAGCCAGGGTGCGGACATTAGCCTAAAATCCACTTCGCTCGAAAAAAATGCAGCACCCCCCCCCACCCCTCACCATCGAAAATCTCTCCTCATTTATAATGGTAATGTGATGATGATGAATTTTACTATATAAGAATGTAATTTTCGGCCATCTAGAGGTACTATATTCTCAAATTTTCCAACCTCGGCCCCAACCATCGTGAGGCTCAGGTGGGAAAATTCAGTTCTCCTTACCTTTAAAAAAAAATCTGCGCCCTTGTTTCCCTAAATAAGGAACACTCCGAAGGTGTCTCCTTAATAGGATAGGATAAGAAATAACAGGATTGGATGGAGAAAATGTGATGCCTGTGATTCTGTGCTGTCAGATAATGACAGGGATAGTATAACATTATTATTTGCATTCATTTTTTTACAATTGATTATTTAATTCGTAGGTCAATTTCGGTTAGTGTCCCTAAATAAGGAACACTCCTTTTGGGGACACTATTGGTCCCGAGGGTGTCCCTTTAATAGGGGTTCAATTGTATTAAGAAATACCACACGACTGGACCTGCCTGTTAGAGGCGATAATTTGCTGTTGATTTGGAATAAATGGTGTTAAGATACACGTACCACCCCCAAACGAGTACGCCGTTAGTATTACGAAACACCACACGATTACGGTACATCATTAGTTTTACCAGACACTGTGTGACTACACCGTGAGGCATTAAATGCTTTTATTTTTTGACATAACAAAATAAACAATTATATGAACTGATATACACTGCATAATAATTAATCAATCTGTAGCAAAATAATCAAGGTTATATCACTAAAGTGCATCACCTTATTCTGTTTATATTTTTTAAATTACCTGATTAATAACTAACCTGACGTAAATTAAGTGAGGAATTGACATTGGAAAAACGCCATTGAGGAGTACGCTTGAAATAGTTTGCTTGTGAAGATGAATGGCGTTCTACCATATTACTGCAGGTCATCGTCTATTTTAGAAACGGGCCCTAACTCATTAATTTTATGCAATGCAATATCTGCCCATCATTACATTATCATCATCTTCGTCACAATCATCAACAACATCATGACCATCATTGTCGTCATCGTTGTCATGATCACCATGATCACCATCTTCATCATCAACTATTATGAACATCATCTTCATGAAATTCATGACCATCATCATCATCACCATCATCTTCACCATCAACATCATCACCATCATCATTATCATCATCATTAAAAAACTCAATACTGCAGTATATTCGGAGAGCGTTGATGGTGGACAGGCATTCAGATTCAGTGGTTTTAGTATAGATTACCATTAAAAAATTATCTTGAGCTTATTCGTTTCGTATGGGGGGGGGGGATTAAACAATAATGATAATTATAGAAATGTTTAGTTTATTTGTTTTAAAGGGTAATAAAATTGTAATTATATTTCATTAGACCCCAGAGGGCTAACGTCAGTTGTCGAGCCCAGGCACAAGATTTTTAACTTCCGTGAGTTAAAACATTCATTCAGCTACCAACTTGACAATATCCAAACGTGCGAACAAGGTGTGAAGTGTGCAATAAACCATGATAGGCCTGCCTATATATCTAGATATTTCTTTAACAATGCAATAAAAAAAAATCAGTGTGAAACACATCCCTTCGGATAGGATAGAAATATTTTTTAAGTAATAAATAATTATAAATTTAACATGCGATTAAATAAACTTTTCTCAAGTTGTTTCTTTTTTAACTTATTCATTTTCTGTCATTACGAGAAATATATAATATACAGACCTGTTTAAACTGTGTGTTGATTAACAATACAATTTTTAGTAACAGCTACTTCTAATATTGAATGTATCAAAATAAATAAACAGGGAACAAGGGGACGAGCAAAGTATAGAAATTAATTGAACACCTGTGTTCGTGCACACACGTAATTTCTTTACGTGAATGATAAAAGATTCAACATGCAATCTTTATAATAACCTCGATTACAGTATCAAGTAATAACCAAAATGCAAATAAATTAATACCGTGTTATTTCAGTACGATCCATGTCTCTGAAATGTTACACGTTTTTATACTATTAATATTATTCTACAAACTATAAGTACGGTTAATTATTTATCAAAAATGTCTGTATAGAATGTTAAAACAAGACCATACAGGTCTCCCTCCATTTAAGTACCACTTCTGGGATCGGGGTTTCCATGGTCTTTGCAGCTTTGGCTTCTAATTAGAATTTAAAAAGTAAAAGACATTTTTTAAATTGGGAACCAAGAAAAGTGGACTTTAATTGGAGATGTCTTTAATTAGAGGGGTCTTTAATTGGAGGGGGATCTTTACTTTTGTCATGATTATTCGAACATACCCACTGAATATTCTCCGATTACTCTACCCAGTATACGCCTACTAGTCTAATGCATTATCACCGGAAGCTCAAATTGCAAGAGGTACAATTTGTAATACAGTATTTATTAAACAATCGTTCTTATCCACATAATTTACAAATCAGGCTAATATTATTGAACGATCCTTAGATTATACAAGCACACACATTTTAATTCAGAAATAATGAGTACTAAACAAACAATACTAAATTGTTGATGTATTATTCATATGAATCTTTATTCCTTTGGTCTGAGAGTAATTTGTTATATTGTTCATCGTTTGTTATGACGCCTGCATCCGTCCTTTTGTTGGTGGTGCTGTTGTTATTCTTTGGTGGGGAACTTGGGATGAACTTGAGTGAAGTTTTTTTAGACCTTTGACTTATCCTCATTTTGAAATTATTCCCTGAACGATGGTTCTCTGAAACATTGAAAATATAAACTATCAAATGACCGAAATTACTGTTGATTTTTATGCAACAGTAGGCGTAGGCCTATTGTACAATTTTACATTATTGGATTTCATTAAAAACAAGAAAATTACAACAAAAAAAAATTAAAAACAATATTCATTAAGTGCACTGTAGTTTATGACACTAATTTCAAACAAAATCAACCGAAAATAAGTTTTACTTAGGCTCCAAATTAACATCATAATGACAAAAAATATACTGTACAACATGCTTATACCATTATTAATATAATGATTATTGAACCGCAAACACAGTGTATTTTATGATCCCAAAAACCCTTTTGAAATTTTTGAAATGAAAATTTATGCAGTTTTGTACTGGTCAAAATATAGTACATAAATAGTACCTCTTACACTCCCATGTCTAGTATCGGTGTAGTATGTTGATAACGAACGCATCGAAGGCCGTGCCTTCTTTAAGAATCGACGAACGTAAGGTGACGTCCATAATGTGTAAAGTAGAGGGTTTATTGCTGCGTTCAATGGTAAAACAAACACGGCTATCCAAGCGTAAACCTATCAAATAATAATAATAATAATATGTTGGAAAGAAAATGTGACTTTAAAAAATCAATAATTTGAGCTAAAAAAAACCGAATATTTTTTTTTCACATAAAACATTACCTTTGGAGATACTGATGCACCAAGTAATGAAGCAATACCAAGAAATATTATAGGCATCCAGCAGCAGAAATCTGTGAGGACTATAACCGTCATGCGCATTGCCATGCTGTCACCGCGATTTTGTGGCCTAACTGCTCTCTGTGTGCGGCGGGCCACGACGAACATTATCACGTAAGATAAAATGATAATGATAAAAGAAAGCAAGTTGATTGCAAGAAAAATAAAAACTGCATACTCCCACCCAGAAGTCTTTTCACCAGTTATATGCAAAGCCAAACAAACTCCTGACCTTCCGTAGAAGTTACCGAAATAATTTACACGACAGAGGGGTAAAATGGCGAGGAATATTGCAAGCAACCACGTCAGTGCCATCATTTTCATGGCCCATCCTAGCTCCATGTTCTTGGAACGGAACGGAAAAAGAATTGACGTAAGTCGCTGTAAAGTTATTATTGTCAAACTGAAGACAGATAATTCACTGGAGAACGTTGACAAGAATCCAGCGAAACGACACCACGAGCTGCTCCGCCATTCCATGTCGTGAATGATGTATTCCCCACGGTAGGTAAGATCAACGATGGCAATGATCAGAAGATAAACACCCATACAGAAATCCCCTGCCGCCAGGTTAGTGATCAGGAACGAGTGTACCTAAATGTATAAAAGAATAAAGTCAGTTAAGAACATGTTAATGTTATTAACATAATTATTATAATTACAATGTTTATAATTATCATTACTATAACAATTATCATCATGATTATCATATTATTCATCGCCATCACCGTCAATATAATCCTCATATCATTATTATTATTAAAATTATAGTGAGGTAGTTATTACTCTCACAAAACGTTTGTAAATATACGGTACATTACAACTTCTATCATGTGAATTTTATTGTAGTTTAGAAAACTAATAATAAAATATAGAAAATAAGATAAAAGTAGTTTAAATATACACAGATAACATATGTAAGTTTAAATAAAGGGCCATCGCAAACAAAATGGTCATCTGCAATTTTTCATTCAGTGCCATTTTATTGCTCATGGAACTGAAAAACATGGGTTTCATGTTAGGAGTTTTTTTTTTCAAATGCATTTTAAGTGAAAAGAAAAGAGACATTGTGACAGTTTGTATACCTCGTTTACTTGTCTAGGTGTGTTTGGATTACCTTATTTTCTCGATTGTGGGTTACTCGCCAGATTATAACCAATAAGTTTCCAAGAAACGCCGTAACACCAAGAACCCAAATACTGACACGGAGCACGTAGTTTGACATCAGATCGTCACAAGACGAAAACGCGTCCGGCTCCGGATAGCAGTTTGGGACTCCTTCAGACATGCAGCAGAAACGAAATTCATCCGTATATCTATAACAAAATTATGTCTTCAGTAATCGAATATTGTATAATAAAGTGAAACAAAATAACCAATCAAATTTAACATTCAATGGATACCACACACCGGCATAGAACCTAGTCTAGAACCTTATTATAGATCCAGGACTACTGTGTAAGTGTTAATCAAAGATTAGGCCTATACGATACGAAACGACATTTATTTCCATGAAAATTCAACAAAATACAATAAAAATACATCATGATAATAAATGATTTGCAGTTTAAGTTATGTATTTTACGTATGTGTGTATGTATATATATTTCCCTCTAATGTTAATCCTTATTACATATACTTTATTTGTACAGTATTTCTTATTGAACATTTACACTGCCACGCTGCAGATAAATTGTATATATATATATATCTGTCTCTTATACACATCTAGATGTGTATAAGAGACAGAAATAGTACTGTAGTTGAATGCTGGTAATTTATAAATCTAAACATTACAAATAATAATCCAATATTAATAAATTCTATATATATA